AACAAGAATTACTTCAACTCTTGATAAGATGAAAAAACCAATCTTCTTATGAGGACACTTGGATGATCAAAGAAGAGTTAGAGAAGCTTGCCCAAGTCTCGTTGATGAGTACATGAACTTTAACCCTATAAAGTAGAGTTCTTTGAGGCTCAACAGAGTTGTGCATCACCAAAATAAAAGTTACTAATAAGTTCACAAATCAAACCTCAGTATTAAGATTTGTGTGGTTCATCATACACAACTCTCCATGCAAGCTTATAAACAACACATAATCATTTTAAAATATTGGAGAATAATTAAGAAGTTTAAATTAAGGCTTTTATAGGTAGATGGGCAATACCAATCAAAGAGGTAAAAATCTTCATAATTATTTAATCTCATGACCGCTTTACTTTTATTATTTGGCTAATCAGGATTTTCACGTATTTAAAGGCTTCAAATTTCTTTTTATTTCTTTTATTTTCTTTTCCTTTATAAAGAACAAGCTATCAATCAAAATAATAGTATTTTATTAGCTTCTATAGATTTCCTAGGCTTGAAAATATCCTATAAATAAACATCATTTAAAAAAATTTATTCATGGAATAAAAATTATACTTGTTTATGCAGATTTAATATGCAAAGGCTTGGTGGATGCTCTACTCTCAGTAAAACTTGGTAATTGATCCCCTAAAGCTTTTTAGTGAATCCTTAGTTATCGTTTCTCATCCTTATTCCTTATTTTTCCTGACATAATTTTTATTTCCTCCATGTAACCTCAAGTCTAGCTTTTCTGAACCCCAAACACATTCAACCTCTTCAAAACTCTCCTAAATATTCTCTCATGTCTCTCACAAACTTCCAAGGCTTCAAATCTCCAATAACCCTAAAAATATCATAGCCAAAATCCAATATAGAGAGACATTTCATCATGTGCGCAACTAGATAAAAATTTCAAAGTTCCTTGACCACTTATCCAAATTCCATAAAACGCCATTATTAATTTCCTAAAATTCCAAACTTTTAATCTGTAGTTACTCCCATTTTTTCCAAGGAAACTTGTCTTTGATAGTCTAGAAGTTTCAGCACCAAATCTATCTAAATATTGAATAACACTTCGACCACCACCCTAAAGGGATGACAATCAAATTGTTGCCTTCATTATAAAAATCTTATATATATCTTATATCACAACCTCTATGATGAATTTATCAAGAATGTTGACCCATGACTAAGTCTATGTATAGGGGAATCAATATTTGACATGACCTGAAAACCCGACCCGAACTTGACCCAAAAATTTCGTATTAGGATCAACCCGTTTGGCAAACGGGTTGGGTTCGGGTTTAAGGATTTGACCCGTTTGAAAAATCGGGATGGGTCCGGATCAGCCTGCTAACTCAAAGTTGATCCAGATTTGACCCATCCTCCGACTTTGTCAATCCCAGCTTTTAGAATAAGCCCGCAGATTTGCTTCCAAGGGGATTTGATATCAAAACCAAAGACAGCCCTGAGCCACTCCTCCAAGCTCTCCTCTAACCCCTCACATACATCCAATGCCTTTTGGACCATCTTCTCAGTAGCCACTAGCCCTTCAACATTTGAAATAGTTTGAATAAGCCCCTTACAACTAGAAGATTGTGCAAAGATCTCATCATAGCAACTCTGCATCCATTGCAGAACATGCCTGACTTACAAATTCGGCACCAGCAAAACCATCACAGATTCCAGCTTCTCCCTGTGGGATTTCCAAAGGTTTACCTCCTCCTACGGATTGGGGATTCCCCCAAACAGTTGCATCCTTGGGGGCGAACCAAGCACAATTTTGTAAAACAGTGGCATCTCATTCAACACATGATGTAAGAGTTGTCCAACTTGCCCTAAACTATCCCTAATTACCCTCGCAATGTTGCAGAGCACCATCATGGGACTATCATTTGCCAATAAGCTAATGAGTTTCTGCGAGATGACAAGATGCACGCCCATCTCGAGTCGAGGAAGATGTCAAGAATCTGCTTATGGTTGAGATCATCGATGGTAGCAATGGCGGCAAAAGCGTCAACGTAAGCAGCAACAGTAAGGCCACGACCCGTGTCAGATCGAGTTGACCCGAGTTTTTGGCGGGTCGGGTTCAGGTTGGAATTTTTGACCCGTTTGCAAAAATATGTCGGGTTCAAGTCGTGTCAAACTGCAGCGGGTCAATGTCAGGCTTGATCCGAACCCGACCTGGAACCGTGTAGCACATTTTCTTCATAAAGAAAAAAAGGCTCCATATCTTAACATCACCACCTACCTAACCTAAAAATATGTGAAGTGAAATTGTTATTCCATCACCAACACGTTATTCATGGCCTCAAACAACTTGTGCTCAATTAAGCACACTACCTTAATGCCTTCCATGGAGTCCAACACTTTCTAATCTGGCATTAACCAAACAACCTTAGCAACTACCATTCCTAAATAACTACAATTATCACAAATGAAAAAAAATGCAGATGGGCTTGTTAATATACGCCCACACTCATATCACACTCCCAAGATACGGTTGAGATGCTCCAGGTGCTATGCTCCATGTGCTAGAAATGGTGTCAAATATGTCGGGTTCAAGTTGTGTCAAACTGCAGCGGTTCAATGTCAGGTTTGATCCGAACCCGACCTAGAACCCGTCTTTGACACCCCAATCTGTGTAGCACATTTTCTTCATAAAGAAAAAAGGCTCCATATCTTAACATCACCGCCTACCTAACCTAAAAATATGTGAAGTGAAAGTGTTATTCCATCACCATCACGTTATTCGTTGGCCTCAAACAACTTGTGCTCAATTAAGCACACTACCTTAATGCCTTCCATAGAGTCCAGCACTTTCTAATCTGGCATTAACCAAACAACCTTAGCAACTACCATTCCTAAATAACTACCATTATCACAAATGAAAAAAAAAAAATGCAGATGGGCTTGTTAATATACGCCCACACTCATATCACACTCCCAAGATACGGTTGAGATGCTCCATGTGCTATGCTCCATGTGCTAGAAATGGTGTCAATAGCTAAAGAAGCCATCATGTGATAACCACTATCAGATGATCAACACCTAGCTACGAAGCTAACTAGACTTAAAAAGCACCTTGCTCCAGTGCTCTATGGCATATCAACTAGATAGTCAAGCCTTTTATGGTATCCTAACTGACCTCAATGTTTAATTAGGAATTCCTCATCGACTCAATCACAATTCCTTATTGGCTTTCCTATCTTACACCAGAATCTACGATCCGAACGTCTCTATATGCATCAGTAAAGGGATCTTGATCGACCTATTTACTTTGACAAGCTCTTGTTTATCTTCATTGTCCTTCTCTTCCTCTTCCTCGATCATGTTCACTAGCTTAACAATGATCTTTCCCACACCTCAATAAAAGGGTTCCACTATGAGAATTTTCCTCATTTTCTTCTCCAATGCAAACAATGTGATGAAAACCCCTTTCATCTTGTCAGACCCAGTGGAAGAACTACACATCTCTATAGGTTAGCCAAGTCACCTAAGATGAGAGAGCCTTCATTGTCGCCCCAACTATCTAGCATTCCTTTGTTGTTGTCAAAAAAGTGTGTATTATTGAGTTCTAACATCTTATAGATGATCCGAATGGTTGAATTAGACCAACCACCCTGCCTTGAAGAATAAAAAATAGGTATTTTAGTGCTTAACAAAATATATTAGACTATCAATACCCAACAACATTGATAACCTGGTGGAGAGGTAGAAAAATCCATCAATCTTATAAAGTTAAAAGAGATAGAAAAACTTAGCAATCAACCACATGACCTTGTGGTCCACAACTTCACTTGTATCACAAACATCATCTTTAAGAACTACATAGACTCACTTGCATCATAGTGGTCTCCCTCCAAATCTATGATGCAACCTTACTTGTACCATAGTTGTCTCCTTCAAGGCTTGCATTGCAATCTCACTTATGCTAGAGGCATCAGGACATGTGCAATAACCTAGCATGAATTGTAGTTGTCCTCTTCAAGACCCACATATAAATGATCTCACAACAAAGTCTATGTCATAGCCATATCCAGCGAGAAATGTCTCATAGCAATCTTTAGTTGAACCTGGACAAGAACTAACTTCATCCAAGATTATACTAGAGCCATGTCTAGTTATATGATAAACCATATTATCGCATATATTTATAATATTCACAACTGATGAGTGTATATACCTATCTTGATACCCTCTACATTGCCTCTATAAATTGTTTGAGAAGAACCATGTACTAAAATCCCTTAGTTTATATGAAATAAGGTCACATTTGTACAAAGAATGGCTGATGCCCATTAGTTCAGGCCTATTATTTTTCCCCTCCAACGGTTTTCCCCCAGAAAATATTGTCACATTCTTTTATTTATTTGACTAATCATGCGCATGTGATATCCAAAAAAAACTAAGTCAATCAAGATAGATCCAAATTGCATTGTCTCAAATTCCCACGAGCAACAAGAAGCAAGGGAATCTGAAGTTTCTAGGGGCACCGAAATTCTAACCAAAGTAGTTCCAAATCTGTTTCTAGTCAATTAAGTTACTTGGCCTCAACACTTCAAAATTATATGCAAAACAATCAGACATCCTAATAAATCAGACAAGAGTTGAAAAAAAAAATTTAAGAACAAATAAGAAGAGCTATGATGTATAAACTCATAAAAGTAAACAAAGCGTATGTCAGATTGATCTTGCTTATAAAGTTGACCATAAAAAATAGACATAACTAGATTTATACTTCAGATGTCAGCTTAAGTATCTTTTTCCCTAAACGTTTTTCTAGACCCATCAGAAACTCAAGCTTCTAAAACCTAGACAATGACAACTTATAGGCTTGACTCAGAAGATAAAGCCTGAAAGGTGATCAAACTAAAAAGAGGGGATAATCACTTATATATTAAATATACACCACAGATAGATTTCCGCATTCACGTCATAACCCATTAAAAAACACGATACAACAAACAAGTCGAAACCTTTCCAGTTGCTCGATTAGAATTTGGCCGCTTTGAGTGGAAAAGGTGGTAATCGAATCATAGCTTGCTCAGTTTCAAAAGGAACCGACCTCAGTATCTGTTACGTACAAAAAAAATAGATGAAAGAAAAACACGAATGAGCAATTGATGGAGAAAACAAAAAATTCAACTGATAGAGGGCGTATTAGAGCGAAGAATTGGGCGGACCGGGTCTTGGAGAAGGGGTTTGGAGTCGTCCTGAGCAGTTCGGAAGGGAGGTTTTTGCTTCTGAGCTCTTACAACACCGGCGATATCTCTTCCTACGCTTCCAACAGCCGAGTTTCCACCTGATTCGCTGCCTCCCGTCGAGCCCATTGCGTTGCCGGATCTCTTCATTGATAAGATTTTCGCCACCTAGCCCTAGCCTCGAGCAGGCGATACCCATTGTTCAACGTAAACTTCCATATATTGTGTGTAATTTATATATTTATTTTCTTAGATTTAAAAATTGCAATTTGAGACTTATAACATAAAAATTGATTTTATTTCTCATATTATAATAATCAAAATCTTATATATAAGTATTCAATATATTATTGTAGAATATTACAATTGCTTTTATTTAATAAAATATTTCTTATTAAAATTTACTATGATATACTCTATTATTTGACAAATTTCAAATATTATACAAATTTTATTAAATCTTATAATTCCACTATTTTATAAAATTTTTAAATAATGCCTTATAAGAATCATATTTGATTTATGTTTGAACTTTGATTGAACAAATTTTTGAATGAGAATGATTCTGATTCAATTAGGGTTTGAACAACATTCTAGTATTGATTAAATTTTTATCTCATATGATTTCAATTTTGATCAAATGTTATTCAAATTCTATTCCAATTCATTTTAGTCTAAAAGACTTGACAAAGTAGCGTGCACTCCAGAGTTAAGATATTTTCGCCCCAAATAAAACTTTCAAATATATTTCTCAAAAACATGAAACAACGAGCATATTTATTCAATTTCAATCATTACAAGAAATACAAAATTAATTTTGACTTGACATACATATTATAAAAATTTTACGTATTTATATATCTAATCTCTATTTTTTATATTATATTATCTAAACAACTGAAAGTGTGAGCAAGAAAAGACTTGCCCTTCTATTTCATGCATAGTGCAACAACTACTTACTACTATCGAGTCTAAATCTTCGTTTCCAAGTGCTCATTGATCCTTCTGTTTTCAAAATTTTATTATGTACGGCGTCCATATGCATTCGGAGGCCGATCCAGATATGCCACATCACCCAATACACGATGCATTTGGTGACGTGTCACATCCGTTTCGAACGAATCTGAACTTCGCACGTAATATTCTCTCTCTTCCCAGACCAGCAGAAGACTACATCTTCCCATAAATTATAGGCACCAAACCCTTTGCCAAGGAACTGACATAACTTCCCTAAACCATGATAGAGATTTTTCAAACTTAGTACATAGTTCTGCAAAAGTGTAGGCGCCAATATCATCAACATCAATCCCAAATACTCCGAAGTGTGTTTCCCTACTTCTTTAATAGTCCTCTTGTGATGCTGGCTGATATATTTGATCTGTTGCTCTTGTGATGTGTCACTTGTTTATAGTCAGATATCACAAAGATCTGATTCAAATCAAGTTGGTCTAAAACCAATCTAGAAAATTGGCCAAGGTCACAATAACCTCATCATAACTATGGAAAATTTGGTAAGGTCATAATGATCTCGCCAAAATTATGATGGACTCACCAAGGCCACAATAACCAAGTTAGAATTATGGTGAACTCGCAATGGCCGCAGTGAACATGCCAAAATCATGATGAACTTGTCAAAATCATAACAAATTCACCGATCAATCATCGTACTCAACTCAAGATCTAGTTAAGCTAAGTCGTTTGAATACTCATTTTTTTATGAAAATTCACCGTAACTAATCAAGCTAATAAGCTCAAACATTAAGGCTTCGTTTGGGATAGTTTTCTTACTGCTTCTTAAAGCTGCTTTTTAATAAAAAATTTATTTTTTCTACTAGAAAGCTGCTTTAAGAAGCAGTAAGAAAGTCGTCCTAAACGAAGCCTAAAACCATTGTTAAAATTGAACAGTTTAAAGTAAAATCAACAAACAATTTAAGTGAAAGGAACCCTACGGATTTGGCCTTTGTTAATTAATCTTTGATTTCTTAATATATTTTTAGGACTACATGCCTCGTGTACTTTGGTTCAAGTGATTATTAAGCATTGTTATGCATTTTTTTACTTGTTAACCAAAATATGGTCCTTACTGCGGCTAAATCTTGACCCAAGACTATTACTAAGAGGTTAAAGTTCAAGCCAAGAGCATCAAATTATTTTTACTTAAAGCAATTTATATTTTACAATATAATAAAATCTTATAACTTCTCACTCTAAATTCTTTTTTCTCTTTCTATCTCTAACTGTTTCTCTCTCTAAAATTTTGAATCTCACAACTAGCTTCCTCAATTTTGTATTATTGCAAATATTTGTTGATAACTTCTTTAATAAACAATTCTTGTAAAGAGGATTTACTTAGGGGGTATTATGAGTGGATCAGTGGGAGCTTGAGTCACAACTCGAGATCTAATTTAGAAGAATTTTTTTTTTTCTTTTATCCAATTAACCGGATCTCACATATTTCATATAAATAGCACAAAGGAATACAAATATATTTATATTCATCAATATATACAATTATTATAAGCTAAAAATATTATGAATACAATAGTCATGATACAAAAGGATCAGTCTATTACTACATATATGTCATAACTATAAAATAAACTAAAAGTTGTGAAAGGGAAACTACGTGTGATTTCACCAATCTATTATTACATATACATCATGACTATAAAATAAACTGAAAGTGCTGAAAGGAAAATTATGCATATTGTTTGAAGCCTCATATCATGGGGTATTTACCCTTATCTATAAACATGTAAAACCACAAAGTGAGCAAATAGCCCAATAAGCAACCAAAAATCTTACAACTAAAATCAATGTAAGGAAATAGAAACATCATGATGTAAATTGTATAAGAAAACAATGCATTAGTGTATGTTATTGGTGCCATTTGACCGTATCAATTTATCAATCAGTATGTCATTATCATTAAATCATTCACTGTAGTCTATCAGTTATAACAATAGTATCAATAACAGCATTCTGTAATAATAATCAGTATCCATATATCAATAATAGTGATTCATATTAGTATCAGTACAATATTCGATATCAATAACAATAAGTAGTAACAATATCAATAGCATTATCAATAGTAGTCAATATCAATATAATGATCAATATCAATATTCTTTGTATCAAATATTTAGATGAAGTTATCTTGATCTTGCTCCTACCCTTATGACTTCAAATTAGTTGCCTTTTATAACTCCCAATTAGTAAACTCCTTATAACTTTCAATTAACAAATTATATAAATCAGTCATTCCGACTCCTTATAACTCTCAATCCGTCTTTAGCTCCATATGACTCCCATTAGTGAATGAATGAATCTTGAGGGTATCATGTCATAATATAATCCTACCAAGATAGGTCATATCATGTTGAGCTGTGACAAACAAATCCTAAAATCCAATTTTGAAATATTACATATTCTCTTATAATATTCATTTAAATAAATAACAGACTATGAAGCTGCTAAAATATTTAAAATATTATAAATAAACACATTCACAAGATTTTTTTTTTTTCATTTCATCAAAATGTATCTACACTACAGTACTAGCTATAAACTGAAATACATAATTGAATAATAAATTAGTTATGACTACAAAAATTAAAACAAATAAATACATAAACTTATATCTAATTCTGAACTGCTAATCAACAAGCTCCTCTTTCTAAATCCTGAAACCAAAAGTAAAACCACAATGAGCTACAACTCAGCAACCACACAAATTGATCTAAAATTTTAAATTTTTTTATTAAGTTTTTTTTTTAATATTTAAATGCAGTTCAATATAGTCTAATAAATCAGTGTATTAAAAAAGATAATAAGAGCATAATAATTATTCAATTATTTAAATAATAATATCGAGAAGATAAATAAATTAAAATTCATATTATATAGCAATTCATATCATCTATCTTGGTCCCAAATAGAATCTCAAAGGATTCTGACCCATTATGACTCCATTTTGTGCTTATAGCACCAGAATATATCAATATGCACCTGAAAATAGTTATAGTCACTAGAACATGTCATATAAGCTTTATATTCTTGAACATAGATAAAATCTCAAAAAATTTCAGCCCATTATATCTACCAGTAATGATAATTCGATCACATATGCACATATTTTATCACATTATGGAAATTAAAGCATAATTGAGAATGCTTCAGAATTGCACAAATTTGTATAATGGTAGGCAACAGAAATTCCCACCAAGTATAATTTCCATTAATTGTGTAAAATACTATTTTAAAACATTAATTATGATGCAACACTATTTTTAGTGTCCAAATTATTTTTTATTCGATAAAAACTGCATAATTTCTAAAATAATCGATATAAATTTTTAGAAAATATTCAAAATGTTTATAAAATAATATATAAAAAGTTATGCAGTGAAAGCTTTATCAATGCATAGTTATTTATGTTTTTTTATAACAGAAATAGATATTTAATCAAAATATTTTGAAAAGTTTTGTATTTTTGAAAACTGAAATAGGGATAATGTGACCTACCTTGATCTAAACAACTTTTCCAGCTAGGCCAACAGATAAAATGGCCCGAAGAGGCTCAAAAATTCACTTTTCCTCTCCAACCCTCTCTTCTCTCTCTCCTATTTGGTTGGTTATGATCAATCAAATGAATCGAATAATAGATTTAAAAATATATAAAGTGCTATTAGTGGCCTAACGCTGTGGCGCTAGTTCAAAATCTCAAATTTGATAGCCAAGTGAGCGACAATATCACTATTTGGCGTATTGTCTGAGTGCAGCTCCACGATGCTCGGATACCTAACATTGGGGCACTCCAAAACTAACATTTTAATTTTTTTTTTTTCAAAATTCACTCCAAACACTTAGGACTCATTCTAAAATACACTCCAACATTAAAACACTCCCAAAGACATCCAAATGGGTTAAAAACTCAAGTTTTCAAATCTTTCCTTTTTTAAGTCAGGTCAGAATGGGTGGAGCTGAATGTTGAACCTGAATGTCTCACGACTCTTTTCTCTCTCAAAAAATTTCATTTTCGATATTTCAAAACTCATGTCTCAAATCACATAAATAGAAAAGGGTGCAACAATATGATCTCAAACTCTTTTTTCCAAGTAGCTTCTCGTTCAATCCTATTCTGCCATAGAACTCTAACCATAAGAATATGTATACTCCTTAGCTTTCTGAAATCATAGGCTAAAATCCTCTC